AGTGCTTCAGATGTCTGGATCCTGGCTTGGTAAGTTTCTTGAGAACGGCTCATACTCTCAGGCATGATTACACACGTATTATCTATGCCGCTTATCCTCCTGGATCTCAGTGGTCGTTGGGCAGAAGGTAGGAAAGACCCTGGACAGGTTGCCAGTCCATCTATTCACACATACACTCACACTTAGTGGCAGTTTAGCATCTCCAATTCACCTGAAATCATGTCTTTGGACTGTGGGAGGAAACCAGAGCACCCAGCAGAAACCCACGCAAACATGGGGAGGAAACCCACACAGACACGGGGAGAAAGACAGAAAGGACCCTGGTCACCTGACCGGGCAATCGAACCCAATCCCTTCTTGCTGTGAGGCAACAGCACTATCCGCCCAGACATGATTACATTTACACTGATCAGGCATATCATTATGACCACCTCCTTGTTTTTACGCTCATTGTCCATTTTATCAGATCCACTTACTATATAGGTGCACTTTGTAGTTCTACAATTACAGACTGTAGTCCACCTGTTCCTCTGCATACTTTGTTAGCCCCCTTTTACCCTGTTCTTCAGTCATCATGACCCCCATGGACCCTCACAGAGCAGGTACTATTTGGGTGGTGGATCATTCTCAGCACTGCAGTAACACTGATGTGGTGGTGGTGTGTTAGTGTGTGTTGTGCTGGTACGAGTGGATCAGACACAGCAGTGCTGCTGGAGTTTTTAAACACTGTGTCCATTCACTGTCTACGATAGCTCATCTACTGCTGCACAGTTTGTGTTGGTCATCCTCTAGTCCTTCATCAGTGGTCACAGGACACTGCCCACAGAACGCTGTTGGCTGGATATTTTTGGTTGGTGGACTATTCTCAGTCCAGCAGTGACACTGAAGTTTTTAAAAACTCCAGCAGCAGTAGGAATGAGAGAAAATGTCTTTTTTTCAGACTTACCACTATTGTACATATAAAAGTACATATAAAACTCAGAAGGCATGTGTAGGTTCACTGGTGGCTTTAGATAGTAAATAAAATGGCTATATTTGCATTGTAGACATCACGGCCCCTGGTTCCTTTTAGCACCACTGTAGGGAAATGTGAGTTGGTAAGTACAACAAATCATTTCACATCAAACCACTTTGAATGACTTTGCTTACATCTTAACCACAGAATTCTGCAGAAATGTTGAAAAAACAATGGAATTCCTCTACAAAACTGTCAGTGAAACAAGTCACCAGGACGCACTTAAATAAACACATTTAATCACCAGCAGAAACTGTTCTCCCAAACGCTGATTTGATACAGAAACTGAAAAGGTTTTTTTCCTTTACCGTTCGGCCATCTCCTCATCAGCATCGGAGAAGAAAACCTGAGGGGCTGCATGAAGCTGCCCAAACAAGATAAAGACTTAGTAAGACAGTTGAATAGAGTCTTCTCAAATTACACCTCAGATTACTCCACAGGGAACTCACCCAGAAGGCCGACAAAAGACAAACACATCAACTGACCTGATTCGCAGACCACAATAGGTCTTGTTTTGTTGGTCCACCTTTGGGATGTGGCTTACTGCTGCTTCCACCATGGCTGCTACTTACTTGGAATGCATGGTTTGTTGAATGTTCTTTATGGATGTGCTGAGGCCTGTGCCAATCCAAATACCAATGCTCATTCATTCTGCAAGCTTGGCCTATCTGATTTTCATTTGATCTTCTGGGAGTATCCACCTGCCTTGGCTCTCTCTGGGAGCAGCTCTTCTTTCGAAAGGTTTGACTGCCCTCAGGGTCCGTCTGACTCACATTCTCTTTCATCTCAAGTCTTTCAAGATGAGATTCACATTGCGCCATGCTAGTTTTGTTGGCTTGTCCGTCTAAGGCCTTCTTGTGGGCTCCTAAAAGCCTTCTAGCATGTAGCTCCTTATCCGAACTTGGCCGAGATGAACGTGTGGGTACTGGAAGCTCACCTGTGAACAGCTTCGCGTGACCCATATTGTTTTCCTGTGGTAGAGCCATACCAGGGATGTTGCCAGGCTGGAACATTTGATGAGAGTTAGTGAGCTGCAGCTCACGTTCGTGCTGTGCATGCATGAGGCCGCCGAGGGGAAGAGAATTATGCTGTGACCTTCCGATGGGAAGAGATATTCTGGGAGAGTAGAGTAATAAGGCAGACATGGAAAAATCAGAAGCTTGAGGTTTCGCAAAAGTGACTGCCTCTTCACCGCCAAGGGCTAAAATTGAGCGGTGCAAGCTGGCAGACATCCACGAGGACTCGATGAGATTCTGAAACGTGCAAAGACTGTCAGCTCGCTTTTGAAATGCAAACATTTCTTTTTCAAGTGTTTTTTCAATGTCAATATTGTATGCATCAGTGAAGGCTGGCCTGTCCACCATAGTCATGGAGACCGTGGGCAATAACGAGTTACTACTGCCAGGCCCTTTCCATTGACCATGCTCATTTGTTACTGCGGCCTGATGTGGAGGATCTGAGGCATCCTGGTGAGAAGTAACGGTGTCTTCATCTCTCCAGACGTTTTTAGAACTTCTCACATCCTTTTGGATGGAATAAAAATGCTTTTCCTGCTCAGCAGGGTGAGAACTGTTCCGCTTTTGGTCAGTTTCAGTGTTGAAATGCTTTTGGCAGCTGGAAGACATGCTCGTTTTAAGTTTCTTGGCCATTCACAGCAGTTCCAATAATCCCTCCATGTACTCCTCTTAGACGTTCAGAGGTGCGCTGCCGGTTTAGTCCAGGGAGATGAATACTTATTAGCTTTTGCTGTCTGAAAATGGCCCGTCTTGGTAACATTGCACAAATATCTCCCTTACACCATGATCTAGAAGAAAGGATCACATTGGAAATGAGATTAATTGCAGAGGAGACTTAAAGGCTCAAGCAAAAGACTCACTATTTTAGGGTATTTATGGCTAATTGTTGATCATTTTAGCATTTCAAATCACTTACCTTTCAAAAACAGAGCTGGAAATGTGGCTTTTTTATAACAAACTATCAGCCGGTCAGCGGTGACAGACCACAGCAAACTGAGACACATGGAGTGAGTTAAGAAGCTTATCCAGATTAGTGTAATACTGCTCCTCTTCATGGAGCTACACAAGGAGTCTTTAAAGGGAAATTCCACCAATGTATCAAAATTTCTGTGTTACTAAAACCTTATGATGCAAACAAAGCCATTTAGAATGATTTAGTGTGAAATGCTCACAGTCAGAATTGTGTACAGTGGTGGTGATGGGAACCAGACATCTGGAAATCCTCTAAAAGCTTTTAGATGTACATTGGTAATGAATGCGCTTACTGATGCCTGAGACATTGCTTTATGGTAATTTTGAGATAAGATATTTTATAAAAGCCATTTAGGGGATGTTCAGGGCAATGAAAGGCAAAATAGTCCCCATTTTTTCAGATTTATCACTATTTTACCTTTAACATTACACATACAACCTTATGTAGGTTTTTTTGGATAGTAAATAAAATGGCTTTACTTGTGTTGTATGCATGCAGACTCCTGGTTCCTATGTAGCGCTGAACCATTAATCATTCTAACATAAAAATCACATTTTCTTTATTAGAAAGGTGCAATTTTCAAATCATAGCTGCACTTTTGTATTATATCCTGTTCAAAGTGGGCAAACTTTCACAACATTAACTACATACAAACACTACATTCAGCAGTCAGGTACAAATACAATGGTCCATAAATAAATGAATGAATGAATGAATGAATGAATGAATGATGTGCTAATTTTCTTTGCAAAAAAGGCCTGGCGTTTTATTTATCTTACTTAAATCACAAGTGCAATATTGATTTAAATAAAGATATTTGACCCAAATTGTTCAGCACTATTCCTATCACGGCCAATCAAACAACCCTGAATGACTTGCATTATAATGCACTTTTTATACTGATGGCAGCTCAAAGTGCCTTACGGCCAGGTGATGAAGTTTAACAGTAATAGCTATAATAACTATTAATTTAAAAAGATATAAAGCAATGACGCAGATAAATTAAAAAGATAAATACCAAAAGAGTTTCAAACACTAAGTTAAAGAAACAAGTCTTGAATGTGTGCACTGAGCTTGACAGTCTAATAAAAGATAGAATGGAGTTGCACAGTTTAGAAGCATAACAACTGAAAGAGGCCTCTCCACGTTCGCTGTATATTACAACAAGTACCTGCAGAAGGCAAGTGTTTGCAGATATAAGATCACATGCGGGAACATAAACAGACATTATGTGAGGTAGGCAGGTGATGAGCCTTCAAAACTAGTAGAACTCCTAAAAGATACAGGCAGCCAGTGCAGGGCTTTCAAAATCATTTACATCTTACCACTGAATTATGCAGAAAAATTGAACAAATGTTTGAAAATGGACTTCACTGAACTCAAGAGACTGATGCCACTTTAACAAGGTGAGACAGATAAATAAATCCGGATTTTCCACTCACATTTAATAAATAAACCTCTGACATGACAAGCAGGATTAACAACATTAAATGTGTGTGCATTTACAGACTCACAAACTTCAGCAAACCAAAAAGCATCCCTTACTTGGAGCATGGAGTAGTATTCATTTGTGTAAGAATGCTGAAGTAAATTAAGCTACCATTGCTTGGTGGCCAGCTTATAGCTAACTGACATGTGAACACTCTGGCTGGTCATATGAATGACCTGAAAAACAAAGAATCAAGAGGCTCACTTTGTGTCCTTAAATACAATCAAATTGTATGTCAGTTTAGAAGCTGCTGTCTTTTCGATGCTTTAGCAGCCAAAGCTCTGATGCAATTTTACCTCCTCCATGCTCATTAATTCACAACATAGTCTCTCTGCGTGGAATTGATTATTCTTACTCTTATCATTTTTCTCTCTCATTTATTGCACTAATGGGCAATTCCACTTCTTCCATATCTGTGCTTCCTAACAATGAACTAGATGTGCATTAGGTGCCTCATGAGCCATTATAGTAACTGGATTATTTCAATAATTAAAAAACAGCAACATAAACAGTTCTTACAAATTTATTTCTCATTTTAAATACAATTAATTGTAAAGAATAAACTAATTTCTGTGGCAATAGATGGGAGCAAATTAATACTGTCATGGAAACTTCAAGTTCTTAAGTCATTGTGATGCACTGAATCTTCAGCTACTTGTAGCTCCTCAGATAAACCAAACGATGAGGCTGGAATTTTTCTCGGCACAGTGGACACTCTGTCTGCAAAAAGAAAAAAAAAGCATGAGCTCTCTTCTTTTGCCCTCTGCAAAACCTTGCAATCTCATGAATATGTAGAATAAGTGAATACTTTAAAGAAGGTACTTTTTCGAGAGAACAATAACACAGTATATAACCTCTGAGGTAAATATAGGCTGCACCAGCATACTGAATGTATTCATAGGGTTAAATGTCTTACCTTAGTGTTACACCACTCTGTGATACACTCCCAGCAGAAGAGGTGGCCGCAGGGGGTTGTGGTGGGGTGTCTCCGCTCCTCTAAGCACAAGATACAGCGGGAGGCTCGAGAGGATGGTGACCGGCCCGCCTGCGGACTGTGAAAAGAGAGAAAAATGTCACCCCTGAGACATCAAAACCTCCCTGCAATTGTTGGTCATGATACAGTAGGCAATTTCAGGATTTGAGGAAATGTATACAGGAAGTGAGAATGGTAAAGGGGGTCATCTCCATTTAAAAATCATTGTGAATAATAACGAAAAATATGACTTTGCTCCGAAGTGTTATTTGGTTATTTATTACAGTATTTGTAAGTCTTCAGCATTGTGTACTCTCTCGCTCCTCAATCAGTTTTCCCTTATACTACTACTATATGTTGAAGGCATGGTTGGAACTCACAAAATAATCTTTAATGAATTTGCTTTTGTGGGTTCTGACACAGTACAACACTGAAAAATGGACTCTATTATGCTGCATATCTAAATGCAATAGAAGCCTTCTTAAAATCTTAATTTCACCTGTAGTTTTGTCCATTTTTATTTTAAAGCAAGTGTGTGATGATTTAGGCATCCACTATTGATGGTGTATAAAATGGGCAAAAATTAAAGAAGCAAACTGTGGACACTGGGCCTGGGTGATCATAATAAGCACAATATTTTCTAGTTAAAAAAAAAAATACTCGACTATCAATTATATCACTAAACATTTCCCATATCCTTAACGTTGCATCTGAGCAGGTTCTCACCTTGAGGGAAGGTTCCTGTGTTGTTTCCACTCCTGCCTGGCACGCTGCCTCTGTCTCAGATTGTTAAATTGCAGTATCAGTGTGATAGCCAGCTGCAGCAGTGAGACCGCTCCTAAAAGCCGGTAGCTGTTACGGATGACTTTGTCATCCCCTGCCATACCTTGCATTCTGAGCTGAAAAAACAGAAAAAAAGAAAAAGAGTACTTACAATTACATATCATACACCTACTATATGAACAATACTGTATTACTGTAATATTACTGTAATACAGCCTTTTATCCATTTACATGAATGTCATTTTTCAGAATATCAACTGTTAATACTAAAGATGCATCAACACCGATACTGGCATCAACCCGAGGCTGTGCTTATTTACTCGTACTAGACCACCTGAACGAGGGTGTGCTCACACAGAAAAGTGCTTCTGTCGCAGTAACAGTTGGACGTAAAGCCTTTGGTCACATTAAACATCTACCTTGGCAAATTACCGCCAGGCATACACTGTGCGATTTTATTTATTTGCTACTAAAGACCACATAGGCTGACTTTACTCTGTTTGACTGAAAAGAATTACGAAGTATAAATGTTAAAATGGTGATTTTTTTAAACTATCTTTATAAAATAAGATGTAGAGAGACCATATTGTCCTACTGTGTATATTTCAGTGCACAGTATGGTTAGTCGAGCTGCTGTAGCTCACTTTCTCAGCTTGTTTGCTCATCTGCAGACAGAGCTGTCTATAGAGACTGCATTTCACGTAGCATGTCAATCGGATGGACTGTTTTTGTACAGTGTGAGTATATAAATGATATGCCTTGTCTGGACACGATGGTCATATGTACTTTGTGACCCATGAAAGCACAAGATTTCTAAAATTGCACAGTGCTTAGTATAAATTACAGTGTGTATGTCTGGCTTTAGAGGAAATTCATTCAATTACAGCTCAATCAACCAATCAATTTGGTTGACTTCAACAAAATGTGAAACCACAAATGAGCCCCTTGGACAAGCCTTGAATGTGATTCCTGCTGTTACTGTGCTAAAGAGACTGTTGCTGAAAGAGATAGATCATTTAAAATCAGCTATATTTTAAAGAATTAACTGTTAAGTTACACTGCACTCATTTACGTTAACAACTACATAATTCTAAGTAGGTATCAAACTCAGTATCAGCGAGTATTAAAAAAAAATGTACTTGGTCTGAAAAAATGGTTTTGATGCATCCCTAGTTATTACTATTATTCAGTAAATATATAAGTATTTTTGGTAAAGGCACATGGTACTACAATATCAAAAGTTTGTATTTCATATTTATATGAAATATTATACATTTCACAATTCACATATACAGTTCACATTATACATTTCAGGGTTATTCAGGGTATTTTATAATTGAACTGTATGCAAACGTTTGTGCACCCTTGGTTGCTTTAAGTGTTTTGTTGTAAAAATACGTACACTTCCACAGAGAACTCATGTTTTAATGCACACTTATTGTTTATTTGCTGAAATTAACATATTGGGAAAAAAATAAAATCTAAAAATGTGACAAAGCTGTGGTACATTTTAAACTGTATGTCTCTTTTTTCCAATATATTGAAAAACATAATCTGTGCACTAAAATTGCAGGAAAATGTCATATTTAAGTTTGTTCTCTGTGGAGGATGTGTTAACTTATTTACACTTACAATATCAACAAAATTTAACAGGGGGTGTTCAAACCTTTGCATAAAACTGTATATGTATTAAAACACTGAGATAATAGTGAGCTTTTGTATGAATGATAGTACTTCTTACAAAATTGACTACATAAACATATCTATTCATCAGCTTCTGACGTTAAGTATTTATGTCCCCAACTTTGGTCATACTGACTAGCTTATGGAAAGAAAGTCTAACTTACATAGCTGATGCCTGTTGTCCTCTTGGCCAGATGATAAAAAGCACCACTAACATAGAACAGCGCCACATGCACCCTGTGCAAGATGGTGACTCCCTGTTGCACTGCGAAGACCATAGGTTTTAGAGATTTCCTCTGATGCTCATTCAGCATCCTAACAGTCCTGTGTATCCATGCCTTTACATAAGACATTGGGTTCCAGGTTAATGTTATCTCGCGCTGGGTATTCTGAGAGTCCTGCTCCTCAACCTCCAGCTCATGCTCAATGCAGACCAGGAGCTTGTCCAGAAAGTATGGTACGAAGGTGTGAAGAAGGATAAGGGCCCCTCTGCGCATACGGGAAGGAATCCTACGCTTTGTGGGATCAACTTGGACAATGCTGACATACTCCTCACCTAATGTCTGATATCCTACGAGGAAAGTGGGCAGCAATCAGAGACTGACTTTGACTGAGGTACAGCAATACACACTGCATTGGTATTTCTAGCTTGTACTAACTCTCAGGTATTTTATCACACTTACTACACAGGTGCACTTTATAAGTATACAATCTGTAGCTGCCCTATTGATCACTCCTCTAGACTGTCCATTAGTTTAAAAGGACCACAACAGGATCACTACTGACCAGAAATAATACGGGTGGTAAAGCTCAGCACAGCAGTAGCACGTACAATGAGGCCCAACTATTTATGATGATGCCACATGTCTGTAGTGGCATGATAGTGGCTGCTGTGCTGGTATCAGACATAGCAGTGATGATGAATAAGATCATTTTGATTCCATAGGTGTTAATGTCTTCACTTTTTTCTAAACTGAGTAAAATAGTAGGCTTAAATAAAACCATTCTATGAACAGGTGTGTCTAAACCAGGGGCGTCCAAAAATTTTGTTTTGAGGGGGCAATGTTAGAACTAGGCAATATGACAATATTTATCATAATCATAATAAATTACATCACAATATGTCACAATATTACTTAAAAATCACTTTCCAACTGCATGTTTAATTAAAAAGCATAATTAGTTATGTTTAATTTGATTTGGTGCAGCACATTGTGTGAAATGTTGAATCCAAGGATTTGTACCGTATTTTTAAAATGTGGCACTACTTTGTCTGTTCTATCTTATCAAATGTCAGAAAACATACTGTGACACATTGTGTATCATAAAAAAACTTGCTGAAGTATTGTGATATTACATTTTGCCATATCGCCCACCTTTAGCCAAAGTGCAATGTTTGTGTGGGGCCAAGGGCCAAAAAGACAAAATACATACAAAGAAAGAAGGCAGGTAGGAGTTTTTTAAGATTTTGATAAATGTACTACATATAAACATTACAATATATTTTGTTACTGAAATGTTTCCAATAATATATACATTTCAAAGGAAATCTTAGGAAATTACTATACTTTTAATACATTTGTTCTCTCATTGAATGAAGGGGTGGCGTTAGGGTAACTTTCTGGGAGGGCACATCAATAGGCCATGCTTTGTGTGGTCTAGGACTAAACGTTTGACTGGTAGTACAGCTCTTCATCAGTGGTCAGTTTCTAACTGCAGGACTGCTTTTGGAAGCACACTTTTGATTAGCAGGCTGTTTTCAAACCAGCACTGACACTTGTACCAGCCCAACACCAACTAGCATTCAGTTACAATACTGTATACCTATAAAGAGCACCTATATGGTAGGTATAACTTACCTGATAAATGAACAAGTCTATGTACAATGCAGGCATACCTAACAATTGCCAACATGTGTCTCATCTTATCACTGGACCTACCTGAGAGAGTAGTTAGTGTGTAGTAGGTGAGGTCTGACAGCAGCTCGATTTCTTTCCTCCACTGCAGCCATAGTTTGGAACCTGAACGAAGAGAGGAAAGTGCATCTACATCTAACCTGCACTCAAAACGGGTCACTGTATTTTCACTGTAAAGAGCTACCCTTAGCTAGCGTTAACTTACCAGCGACCGTCTGGACCGTTTCGTTAGTATTGTTTCTGAAACTGCTTTGATAGTATTCGTCCTTCTGAGAGGACCGAATTAGCTGCGGTTGGTTGGCTTGTACAAGCGGCATTATGGAGTTTTAATAACCTAAAAGAGTAACTTTATGCTTCACATTGGTCGTATGGACGTCCATTAGTGGCCGGTTAGCGCGCTTTAGCTTGTCAACACAAACAGACTCGCAGAAAGAAAAAGTCCGAGACAAACATGAAAACTACATATATGCAGATGGAAAAAAACATATTCAGCAGAAAATAATATGTACATTTAACACACTATAACACACCTATTCATGGCTGTATGTAAACAGCAACAGCTCATGTCTGTTCTTGTAGACCGAAGACCTGAGTCGCAGGGCTTTCTCTTCCGTGTTAGTCACGTGTGTTCAGGAGAGCTTTCCATTGGTCGGCTAGGTTAGGGTTAGACGGTGCTGATAAGGTGCGTAGGGGAGTTTGGACTTAGATCAGTTTACATAAGGACGCTGAATAAATATGCTGGGACACGGTGTGTGTGTATTACTACAATTACAAACAACAAACAAATAAATAAATACACTTCTTGTTTCTACACTCGTGGTCCAGTTTAGTATAGCATATAGGTGCACTCTGTAGTTCTACAATTACAGACTGTAGTCCATCTGCTTCTCTGCATACTTTGTTAGCCCCCTTTTACCCTCTTTTTCAATGGTCAGCCACAGAGCAGGTATTATTTGGGTGGTGGATCATTCCTAGCACTGCAGTGAGACCACAGTGGTGGTGTGTTAGTGTGTGTTCTGCTGCTGCGAGTGGATCAGACACAGCAGTGCTCCTCAGTGTCACTGCTGGACTGAGAACAGCCCACCAACCACAAATATCCAGCCAACAGCGCCCTGTGGGCAGGACTAGAGGATAACCAACACAAACTGTGCAGCAACTGATGAGCTTCTACCTCTGTATTTGCATCTAAACCAGCAAGGTAGGAGTGTCTAACAAGAGTGGACAGTGAGGCAGACACAGTGTTTAAAAGCTCCAGCAGCACTGCTGGATTGTACTTAATGGCAATTTTGACTAGAAATGAAATAAACCAAAGGGTGGTCACTTTTTCACAGTACTGTACTTCCTTCATTGACCCCATGCTTTATCTATGACTTATGTATTTCACTGTAAATTAGATTGCCTGTACAAAATTACATTATCCAGTGTGTTAAATATAAGTTTGCTGATTAAACATGTGATGTGAAATATTGCTTAAGCATGGTTTTGTGCTGTATTGCTTGCTTTTTACATCATTTGTGGTCATGAAGTGGTGAGATAGACTAAACTCACTGTTTTTGTATTTACCGATTCTATTTTTCATGACTTGCTTTTGTAGTTGTATCCTCATAAACCCTTTGGCTTATTCTGACATATTTATTTTTTTCCCTTTTCCCTCAGTGCACAATGGATTACATGACTATAGGTGGCCTCAAATCCTAGCCTGCAGAACCTGTTTCTTTGTTCCTTCGGTGCACCCACACCAGGCTGCGCTGTTAAAGCAAAGAACAGCGAAGAAGCAAGCATGCCCCTTTCATGCTTCAGTTGGTCAAAAATCCATACTTAGGGCTGGTCACCAGACTTCAACTTCAGGGGGCAGGCCTTGTTTGATTAAAGACTTGCAGGAGTCTATTTACTCCTTATGGCAGTCAAGGAAGTGTGGACACTGTTTACACTTGAGGAGGGGCAGCTCTTTTTTTTTCAAACTGAGAGATACATGTGACTTCTTGCAGGCTGGAGTTAGATGGTGTGCAGGGCAGCTGAGGGAAGTAATAGCTACAGAATCAACTTGGGAACGAATGAAGCTTCAGTCTCGCTGAGGTAGGGCGGAATTTTTAATGTTCCTGTAGGTGTTTTGTGAAAAATATTGAGAAGTGACCACAAAGCCTTCAGACTGAAACTTTTTTAACTACATTTGTTAAGTTTCAAATATCAGTTCCAGTCACGTCTGATGTGTATGTTTACTCAGAGAGTCAGTAACACTGATTTTTGCCACAGGCCTCACTGAATGTTGTAATATGCCTACCATTCCACAGAGATAGCACCTTTTCTACAACACTTAAAAGACATTCATAGCGCCATTCCGGAGATGAAATCACAAGATTAAACTTGTGGAAAGCAGCTTATGTCATTTAGTTTGCTCCAAATGATATCATTTTCTTAACTTAATGATAATCAGAATGAGTTCTAATCAAAGTGCATGGGAAATGTTTTGCTCTGCCTGCAAGGTGATTTGTTTTGCATGGCAGTGCCATAAAAGATCATACGGTACTACAAGCAGGACTTTGCTCTTTCGAGTTCATTTGCGAATGACCTGCTCAGTGCACTTGCTGTTTGCAGGCTGTTACGTGTTACACTAGTGTACAAAAGTTCCAAAACACTAGTCATATTAATAATTGCTGTTATTTCATTCAATTATAACTCATACAGCGTAGATTGGAATACCATAGGATGTTTTCTGAGTTATTAGGAACACCAAAAAGATATTAAATGGCAAATAATATTCTATTTATATAACTTATAATTCATAATAATTTCTTGATATGTCATCTGACAGGGATTTAGAACACCATGTTTTAAATACGAGCCATTGTAGATGTTAAAGCAGAATTTTGCAGATTTGTCCAAATTTCTGCATAATTTAATGGTTCAGATGTAAACAAACTCATTAAGAGTGGTTTGGTGTGAAATGCTGCATTCTTATTAACATTACATAAACTCTGAACACACATGTGGGATCACTGGTTGTTTTGGATAGTAAATACGATGGCCATATTTATGTTATAGACATACTGACCCACGGTTCCCATTACCACCAGTGTAAAGAAATCTGAGTTGGTTCCACTCTGAACCACTCTGAACACCTTTGTTTACATCTCAAACGTATATTTTATCCCTTTAACTTTAGTATATTCTCATTCGTAATGTTATACAGCTTTCTAAGTCATTAAGGAATCATCTGCTGCTCTGAATTCTGTGAAGTTGCATAGTAATAGCACCATAATATAATCATCTCATGTTTATCTGCACAATTGTATTTAAAACAGTGATCCCAGGCAAAGCTAGTGTATATACAATGAAACTTTTAATTATTGAGCACTCTATCCCTAATTCCCTTTTCCAATTAGACCAAACCACATCCAAGACTAATTGCCAAAATTATCTTATTTATAGTGATGCAAAACGTGCTCAGCTGACTCAATCTGAGCATGGTCTCTCACAGTAATGCAATTCTCTTTTACTGTACTCTGATTCTCTAAATAAACTGAGGGAAAGAAATAAGTAAATCTTTTCATTTGCAATGAGAACAAGTAATAAAACACACGCTAGGACTGTAGTCGGGCAAAGACCGTAAAACTAGTGGATCCAATTGATTGTAATCCTGTTTTGTCCTAACAAAAAACACTCCCAATGATCATGTACACAACATGGGCCATTTACCATGTGCTCCCGCTGTCTGCACCCCACCCCTACTGCCCGCCCATTCCAGCGAAGACTCCTTTGCCCTTACTTGTCCAGTGTTGACGCAGGGAGAGCTGTTGCCCCATATGGGAACACCCACTGTGGACAAAGAGATTACAGATGACATCAGCTTCCTTTACCTGGAACATGGGATGGTGTGCTAGAGCTATTGCATATGTGTGGAAGAGAGGAAAGCATAGTGAATGAAAAGATCTGTCTGAAGGAGTATCAGTGTTTGTTTCTATCACCTTCACTGCTCGAACTCTGGGATCTACCGGCTCCTACCTGAGCAAGATTGGTTCCCGTCACTCATGAAGGTAACGTGATACTCTGTAACTTTTTCTCAAGAACAATGAAGAACTTGAGATGTTGAGATGTCGCCGAGAATTGCCGCAGTTTAAGTGAATGCCCAGGTTTGGTTAGATTTGTGAAGCCGGGGTTGGTTTCTTGGTTTGGGTCAGGTTTTCACCTGGGGGGCTGCATTGCAGAGAAACACTAGATCGCTCACCTGAGACTGGGAGCAAGGGAAAATAAGAAGAAGCTTCAGGTGAGCTGAAGCCACAGTGATTTTGAAGTTATGTCTTCAGATTCCTATGAGTGTCTGCATGCTGTCATGGTCTGTCCAACATGAATTGGCAGTCATCGCTCTCAACTGAGTGGAACAGCGTCTAGGGAAACTTGCCTTGTGCTTCGGGCTAAACAGTGAATCAGGCGCCCATAAATTAGATGTTAACCCATGTACTTAGACAGGAAACACCCCTCCATTTATGTCATTTCCAACATTTACAGTGTGTTTCATTTTCATTCTGAGTCTTATGCAGTTCCTCGCTGAGTTTTGTTGGTTTGAAAGTTTGCCCTGCTTTCTCGAGACCCTTCTTTGCTCATTTTTATGCACACCTCATTGAAGAGTCTAGTTCAGTCTAAAGCTGAAAAACTTTTTTGTGTTGTAGGCTGCTTTGTGAGATGCAACATGAACCAGAGAGTTGAAAGGTAATGAAAAGGCCTATTGTGTCAGCCGCTCCGTATGCCAATGAGCAACTCTGAGTTACAGAGAATCGCCAGGTTGCCAGCTGGTGACTTGTTGGCTTGCCAGCATCTTCCCCATGTTTCTCAAACAAAGGAGGGAGCACCATGGGGTGCATAGATACTGTACGCTGCTATTTATTCATGAAAACATAAGATGTTTTCTCTTTGGAATTTGTTAAAATGGGACAAAATTGAAAAATGGATAGTGATAAAATGCAGTGGCAAATGCACCATGACTATTAGAGCTCGGTCGTTAATTTGAGCCATAAACATCAAAATTCGGTCAAAACATGAGGAAAAAACCCACCTCTCCAATAATGCTAATTTCTGCTAGCATCCCTATAGGATTTCAGTATGTTGTTAGTGCTAAGCTAACTGCGATTAGTATGAACATTTTTTGACCGTTCTAAATTAAACACAAAGACATTTCAAGCTTCTAAAACACAATGTGCTTTACCTGAAGCTTGTGACAGATCCCATTGATTAGCCTGCCACTCGTATTCAACTGGAACTCAATTGGATGGTTAATTTCTCTGTCATTTCATTATAATGCTGATAGGCAAACATTGTAGGACTTCTCATTATCTCCTGCAGAACCTACCAATAATAGTGCTTACTTAGCTATGTTTACCTAAATACCATGAACCAAAACAATTCCAACTTTCCACTGGGCTTTTTGTTTCCATCCAGAATTTAACAGGATTAGTACTGTGATGCTTGCAGAGTTTAAAAGGGAACTCTATAAATTTTTCTAAATTATGCATTTCTACAGTGCACAATTTAATTGTTAAAATATCGACAAAATCATTCAGAGTGGTTTGGTGTGAAATGCTTTGTTCTAGAAAAACTTAAGAGTCAGAAGTTTTCACAGTGTGATCGGAACCAGGCATATGAGGAGTTTATAGCCTCTAAAACTCCTTCCCAGAAAGTTTTTACATTAAGTGGTTAGGAATACACTGCCTGACACATGAGACATTGTTTTACTGTAGTGTTATGACAAAGTTTTGGTCTAAAATGTATTTTAAGCAATTTAGTTTAATCCATTCTTGGTGGAAGGGTACATGATGGGTGTTCTAAGGCAAAATAGTCCCCAGAGAAAACGTATTTTATGGGATTTCCCACTATTTTATCATCATCATCAACATTACATTAAAAACTCAGTAGACACATGTAGGTTCACTGGTGGTTTTGGATAGTAAATAAAATTACTATGTTTATGTAGTACACATCAGGACCCCTGGTTCCTATCACAACCACTGTAAAGAAATCTGTAAGTTTCTCTGCAAATAAACCATGCATGATTCTATGGAATAAAAAATTAACTAAAAATTAGACTTGTATTGTTCAGTTCCTAGAAATCATTAGCCTCCTCTGAAGGCCTAAAAGGCCCGAAGGGTTCCCCTCTGTTAGAACGGGACAAAATATACTTGTGTGGCCGTCAATATACTTTGGCCAAGTCCCCATGTGTAGCCTACGTGTGGGAAACACTAGAACTCAATTGTATCTTTCCTCATATGCAGGCAGTATGCAGAATAAAGGGCATGCAGTTTGAATGTGGCTTTGTTCTCAAGCATTTTAAGTAATCTCTTATCTTGCCGGGCCATACGTACAATCTTGCCAGTGTAGATTTGCTGAATGATAATGGCTTCAAATGGTGGATAAGTAGTCCGTGCTTCAGCTCCAAGAGCATTTGGGCTAAAGCAGTGCAATGCATGAGAAGCAACGGCCATCTAACCTTGTTTATACAAAAAGAGTGTGAATAATGTAGGCTATGCTAACATTGCATAAAAGGGCATTAGAAAAATCTTAAAAGAGAAACAAGTGAAGAGAAACTTCTGCATATTTCATAACCAGCACATCTCGCTTATCTGTCATAATTCCACCACATTTTGTTGTCTCACTGCTGGTAATTTAAGAGAGGCAGGCTATTTTTCTCCCTAATGGGATGAACACTGTAGAAGATGAGTGCATTTCTTTTTTTTGCCAAGCTGCTTCATCCGTTTGTACATTCTACATTCTACACACCTGCACACCACCTAGATATGAATACTAATATTTTACTGCTTTTAAGGCATCTCGAATCCAGATCACCCAAAATAAAAGGCATCACTGAGTTAGAATTAGCATCATTTGTCACAATTATTTTGTTTTTATTGATCTGGGAATCTCTTTGTCCCGTTTTCATAGCAGAATAATAAGACCCACATCGCTGCTTCTGTTGCACCTCATTAAAAATCTAGTACAGAAACAGTCTTGTGTTGGCTTCATCATAATGTCTGAGAGGAAGTAAAAGTGGTAATAATATTATGATAGTTAAAAACTTTTTCACAAGA